AGTAACAGTGATATAACAGTAGTAGTTGTATTAGCATTAGCATTAGCAGCAGCGTTCCTCCTGATGATTCAGTTACATACATGATATAATTGTGATGTAACTGTGTTTGTGCCATCAGTGACTCTGGTTGAGAGCTGCAGCGCCCCCAGCGGGCTGGAACTGGTCAGTTCCTACCAGACCACCAGAGTGGGAGACCCCATGGACCTGGTGGCGCTGGCAGCACAAGTACAGAAGGTGTGGACTGAAAAGAATACATTTCTACACAGCAGCACCTCTTGATGTGGGCGGATAGCACTGTTATATATAACATGTTTCTACTTTATTTCAGGGAGAGGATTTCATTAAGGCCAATGCTTGCAACAAACTGACAGTCATTGCTGACCAGATCAGATACCTACAGGAACAGGCAAGAAAGGTGAGAGCATCCGTTGTTCTAGAAGTGGAAGGGATCCCAACATAAACGCTGCAGTTACTCTTGTCTTTTGAGTACTACTGTAGCTACTTTTTTAGCTGATGATGCCAGGATGCACACAATGTACAAGTTCACATCCTCCAAATTGGACTAGTTTTTGCATCCTGACATTACTTTATAACAGCACATTTGAAAATGGGACAAATCATGGTAATATTTGAGTATGTTAAATAGTCCAGTGCACATACTGTATGTGTCTCCTCCCTGTGTAGGTTTTAGAAGAGGCTAAAAGAGATGCTGACCTCCACCATGCGGCCTGTAACATTGTGAAGAAACCAGGAAACATGTATTACCTCTACCAGAGGGATTCTGGGCAGAAATACTTCTCCATCATCTCTCCTAAGGTTGGTATTATATGATAGACACAGATTGTTCAGCTGCCTTTAAAGGGATACTTTGGGTTTTTAAGGTGGGGTTGTGTGAGGTACATACCTGTAGTCAGTGTATAGATGGAGGTCAACATTTTCACGGCTTTAACTTGTCATCATACATGGCGTTAAATGTCCTCAGTAACCTTTATATATAACTTCAAAAACACCCAAACTCTCCCTTTAATGTCACCCTGTGTGGACACAGTGTTACAAAACGCCAGCAGTCCCACAAAGATGTTAACATGTGAATGCCTAACCGACCACCTGCAGGTATTTGTGTGTAACACTGAGCTGAAGGCTGTTTGGTGTTCAAAGTTCACGTAACCCAGGAGGGAGCTGATGGTGAGCAGGCTGCCAAAAGCACAGCCAGTTCGGGTTGGATTAGACTGGTTCCTGTTGTGGCTACGTAAGAGTGTTTGCAGGTTCAGACAAAGTTTGTAGTGGTCATGAAATATTTGACAGTTGTGTGTAATCAAGACAGGGAAAAATTGTTAGGGAATGCCTTTGTCATACTTTAATGTACCATGTATCTGTTTAACCCTTTATAAGCTGGAAAAATAAAGAAACATACGGCTGCAACTACTGATTATTTTCATCACTATTAATAAAAAAAAAAACATAATTTCATCATCATCGTTGTCATAGATCATTATGCTAATTATGTTCTTGGTTAGTCATCACAATTCCTTAAAGGCCAAGGTGAAATCATCAAATTGTTAGTTTTCTTTGAACAAACTAATGTTTTTCATTTTACTACAAGAGAAAGAACAAATATGCTACAAATATAATTTATTTCTTAAAGGTCCAAGGTGTTGTCAGAAATGGAATATAAGTAATGTGTTATACGGTATGGTTTTCCATTAACGATGGTATATTCATCCCTGACAATGTAGAATTGGTTGTGTTTTTTGCTTAACCTTACAATGAGGGCTGTTATTATCTAAGACACGCACAGGTTGCCTTCCATGTTTCGTACAGTAGCCAGAAGGGACAACCACCAACAATGGCTCTAGATAGGGCCAGTATGTGTTGTGCATTTCATGGCCTACGTAGTTTCTTCTTGGTAGTTGGGGAGGGTGAATTGATCTACAACTACGCCACTAAATCCTACACACTGGTCCTTTTAAAGGATTCATTTTCCAGACAAAACTAATAATCAACAAATCATTTCAGCTCTGGAACAAAAAGCTTCAATTATAAATGTAAGAAGGGAGTTGTTGATTTGTAAAGTGATATTAAGCTGATTTATAGAATGAAAAAATGTTCTGTCTCTTGACTCTGACATCTCACCATAGCATACCTTCTCTGTCCTCTCTGAAGGAATGGGGTCCAAGTTGCCCTCACTCGTTTGTCGGTGCATTCAAACTTCAACATGACATGTCCTGGACCCCCATAGACGAGGTGGAGAAGAAGGACTCAGAGTTCGCCATCATGGACAAACTGCTCAGCCAACAGACTGCCTTACCATCTTACACAGGACCCAACTTCAAGGGCCTCTCTGATTAGAGGACTGCTGAACTGGACTGGATTAAAGGACTGGAATTTTACAAGGAGACCGGGTGGAGGCTAAACTATGGTCTTAATGGACAAAACTCTGTACATGGATTGGGGTTGCTGATATAAAAGTATCCGCCACACAGTGTCTTGGTGACTTTCATACACGGTTGCATTACTACGTTGAGTTTCTGTCAACAATACGTTTTTGTTTGTATGTATACAAACAAAAACAGTTAGCTACACTGGGTTAAATATTATCAACATTCATCACAAGGCTACATTTTAAAGCTGCTTTGTTGCCTGTTTTCTTGTAAACAAACAAAAGTTCTGTTTTTTTTCAGTGTTTCTCACCAAAAGGCAGTGTGTATCTTAGAGGTTCAACAAACACGATAACAGCATTTTCTGCAGTGCTTTCAAAAATATATTTGAAATTGTTCATTGTTTACGTACATGTTTGCTGGTAGTCGTCTTCTTCACTGCCTTTGTTGGCGCGTTACAACCAACAACCGCAGAATAGCGAGAATTCAACAGCAGGATGTGAATTGTGAGTACCGTATGATTTTAAAAAAACAAAGAAACATAATAAATACATTGCTCAGTAGCGCTCCTAGTGGTCAGAAACACCACAGGCTACCTTTAATCTGCCCTGCAGCCCACACTCAGTTCTGCCCCTGGGTTCTAACTTTGATTTTGTATGGCCTTATTTTTCTATGGCAGGGAAATACAACTTCTGTTGAGCCATCTATCAGTGGATCAAGTAAATGATGTGTTTTGTCTAACATTTATTGACAAAGAAAGTTGATGTCCATTGTCCACTGTATTTGTTAAATAAATTAGAAAATATTTAATTTTACACATTTGTTTAATTTCAGGTGAAGAAAATTAAAGTGCAATATCTTTATTTTAAATGAAGCAATTTATTTTAAGTACAATTAGAGTTATTAAAGTGTTCATATTTGATTATTTTTTTGTTAAAAATTTCTTTAAAATTAAAAACAAGGCGGTAAGTTGCATCACAGTCAGCTGTGAGTGTCTTCCTGTGAGGACGTGATTGTCAGTAGATAAGAACTGACGTGGGGCAGAAGCTGCCAGTTATCTGTGGCGATGTTGAAGTGCACGGCGTCCTCCTCTGACCTGATCTTCAGCAGCACGTGAGACTGTGGCGGGAGGAAGAACAGCACTTTGAACTCCTCTTCCTTAGACAGATCCGATATAAGGTAGGGGAGGAAGTGTTTCTCCACCAAGGCGATCAGAGCCGCCTCCTTCAGCTGGCAGCAGAACAGGCTGGTGGCACTGTCTGCCGGGTCTGTCTCCCCGCCCTCAGAGCTGATTTCATCCCACAAACCCTCGAACAAGCTCAGTCTGCCGCCTCGTCCCCAGGCCGGGGGAGCAGGCGGGGACATGAAGGCCTGCTGGAAAGCCACATTGATGTCCGGCAGGACGGTGAGCCAGGAGATCCCGTCCTGGGTGGTGAAGATGGCGCTGGCGTGGAGGGTGGTGGGGTAGGGCCGCCTGGGCTTCAGTCTCAGCCTCACTTTGGGCGACGACCTCTCTCTGAACAGACACGGGACGCTGATGTCGCTCAGTTCTTCGTAGTGGTCGTCTGTGAGGTTGAAGTGGAGGCGGATGCTGAAGAGCTGATCAAAGTGGAGGTTGACGGGTTCAATGTGAGCCAGCCGGTAGTTTAAGGAGATTTCTGAGGCAAAGCTAGGGTCGTCGAACTGAGCTCTGTAGGCTTCCAGTGCCGCCTTCGCCTCTCCTGGGCCGCCCTCCGTCTCAGTCTGGTTCAGGTTTCTTTCTTCATCACATTGTGTTTCTTCTCGTGGCTCAGGATGGGCCTCGATCAGCCTGAATATCGCTTTCTCCGTTTGGTGAATGGTTAACAAGCTCGTGAGCCCCTCTCCCTCAGCTATGATGCACGACAGTGTTCGCTTCTTGACCTGCCCCCCTCCCTTGGTCAAACCCTGCGCCAACACTCCGGCCAGCTTCTCCCGGGACAGCGTGGTCAGGAGGGTGTAGTAGAGTCTGGCATGGTCCTGGATGTCCGTGTCTCCGTAGCGGCAGTTGAGATGCTGCAGGATGTCAGCCAGAGGGATGAGTAGCGAGTCAAGACTGGGGTGGACAAGGAGGCGGCGGCAAACCCCCAGCAGGCTGTTGCCCAGACGCCAGTTGCCGCTCACGCACAGAGAGGACGACGGAGTGATGACGCTGGACAGGAAGCTGAGGGTGGTGGGCTGGGCGATGTCTCCTTCCTCCGCCACTCGAGCCAGCATCTTTAGGTGCCAGCTGAGGTCTTGTAAGGTGAGCTGGGCGAGCGGGGCCTCTGTGATGACCCCCTGAAGGGCCTTCAGGAGCCCCACGGCCCAGTTGGACTCGGTGAGCTTCTCCTGGGTCTGGTCGGCCAGGTTGATGAGGTGCGGGGCCAGGTAGGTGTGGCGGAGGTAGAGCTTACACAGCTTCTCCGTCAGGTTGTTAGAGAAGCGCTCCACGTGGCAGAAGTAGAGAAGGAAGAGGAAGGCGGCTCTGAAGAAGGTAACGACAATTTCCCGGCTGCCTCCGTTTTCCACAATGTGGAGCAGCGAGGTGAGGTGTTCGTAGAGGTACGCCAGCCCCCTGCCCTCCTCCCCTTCCTCTCCCTCCTCCAGGTAGACCAGAGAGAGAAGGTTGAGGCGGGCCAGCATGGTGGCGCTGTCGTTGAACACAGTGGGCACCAGAGCCGAGGCTAGCCGCGCGGTCAGCAGCACGGGGAGCGTCTCGTCGCCATCGCCGCAGCTGATCGGCCGGTTCTCAGGAAAGTGCAGGATGCAGTCCATGTAGAAAAGCTTCTCGGGTGTAGTCAGCAGCGGGTGCTGGGAGAGCACGACCAGCCGCTTTAGGATAAAGGCTTCGTCTTCCACGCTGAACAGGCTGTCTGTGAACGCACACTTCATCAGCAGAGTGGCGTGAAGGAGGCAGACCTGGAGAGAGGTGGACAAAGATTTACCGTGAGTCACCAATCCTCAATATCTCCAAACTGTAGAGGTTGACTTAAAGCTGCTGTGTAAAGACTTTCTATTTGATTATAAAAAATGTGTTTATTGGCAGAATGAGTAGGACTTGTCAGTCACAGTTTGCAAACACAAAATTAAAAGTTAAAAGGGGCAACAAAGGTAGGAATTGACCCTTCCTAAGTCCCGCCTCATTTTGCTTTTTGTCACACGTTTCACCCTCCCCTTTGCAACCACGAGGGAGATACTGTTCAGTGACTGTTCTGGGCTACTGTAGAAACATGGCGTTAAAAATGGTTGATTCTAAGCTAATGATAACACAACCTCTTATTTTTAGGTGATTGTGTACTTAAAACATACCTATAAATATCATATTCCATTCTGACAATAGATCCTCCTAAATGTTACACACTGCCCCTTTAAGTTAGCTAATGTTAGCAAAACACCAACTAACTAGCCAGCTAATCTACATTAATACATTAAAAACTAGCTAGTTATATCTGACAGCTAATGTTAGCAAAACAGAAGCTAATTATCTAGCTAAAGATGGATGTAGATTAGCCCATTAGCTAGCTTTTTGCTAACATTAACACGTGACTTCCAAGTACTATTATAGAAAAGTTGGAGAACTTGTTTTTTGCTTTATTTTTTAATTCACTAACTGTTGTAAAACAGGGACCGGTGAGTAAAAGCATGTTAAAGAAACCGGGACGCTCTTTTCTACTTTGTTGATCTGACACAAACCTCGCTCGTGCCCAGCAGTCGCAGCAGCTGAGCTCGGAATACGGCTGGAGGGACGCCGGGCACCATGGCAACCACCTCTGTCAGTCTGTGTAGCAGTGCAGCCTGACACAGAGGAGTGAGCAGGTAGGACTCCTCCAGGAGGGAGGACAGGACTGAACGCAACTCCTTACAGTCAGGCCCAGTCTGGAGGGTCGGCACTGTACCCATGGGCCCCTGGATGAGAGAAGACAGTATGGCTGAGTCTTTGTTATTCGTCGGACCTGAGTCTGCTTCCCATGAAACTGATGTATTTCCTCCCAGAAGAGCCTTAAGGTGCTCAGCACCAGCTCCACTTTCCTGGGTGAGCTGATACACAGCGTTTCTTAACACCAGAGAGTGGAGTCCTGCGTAGGCCTGGTGGAGCCGGGAAGCTTCTCGCTGCCGGAGCCCACTTAAGAGCTCGAGGCGCTGGGAGAGAAGGCCCGGAGAGCAGGCCTCTAGCTCCCGCAGGCAGTCGCAAGCCGTGGCCCGTACAGAGCGAAGAGCACCATCGCCATGGAGGTCACTGTTGTCCTGGGCTATCTGAAGGAGAAGGTCCAGGAAGTCTTGAGAAGCACGGGAACGGCCGCTCACGCAGGAAGTGCAGACGAGCACAGAGGTGAGGGCCAGGAGGAGGTGACAGCGAAACTGGACGGACTTGGGAGGACACTGGGCGAACACCGACATGAGCTCCAGGGCCGTCTCCTCCCCCACAGAGTGTGAGGGACACAGCACAGTAGGGTGCTCACATAGCGGGGACAGCAGGAGGACCTGAGGTGGGTGAAACGTAAGCAATAAGGACCAATCGGTGTTCACAACACTAGAGACCACAAACACTACTTACAATAAACACAACTGGAAATGGAAAAGACCAAGGATAACACAAAGTACTTAATACAAGTAATTACACACACACAAATACAAATAAAATAGTAACAAATACTGTCTCTTTGTTGAATTATTATTGTGTGTTACTACTATCAATTACATAATTTATGATTTTTTTTTTTTTTTTAAATGGGGCTACATTTCTCTCAGATTTCAAACTGACCAAGTTTCAGTTTACGAACATACATATATATATGTATATAAACTGTCTTGCACTTATATAGCCTGTCTAGTCTTCCAACCACTCAAAGTGCTTAAACAACATAAAACCCATCTAATATTTATACTTTCTGCTCATTTCTGCTAAATGTCTACTGCCTATTGAATGAATTGTGTCAGCTGCTACCAACAGACCTTCCTGGCCTTTTGACCAGATTTTAGACATATTTAAGCCCAGTAGTTTGTTGGTGATTGTGCTGAGAGTGCAACATACCAAACTCCATTTAAAAATATGGCAATTTAGTGCTGGTAACTGTACGTTAGTGAAGCCTTTCAGTGAATGGGACATGTAATGTAAACAAGGCTTTTAACAATCCTTACTATTCTTCTCGTTCTTCAAGAAATAAAACCTTCAACGTTAAGACTAAATATAATAATAACTGAAACAGGACCAGGACCCGGATGTGTATTTGTAGGTCGGGAAGCAGTGCGACAGATTTATAAAGCACGGCAGTGAGGGCTGGAGATTCAGTGACTGTACATTTTACTATGTTTTGTTGTTGTTGTTGTTGTTGTTGTGTTTTACCTTGACACTGTAGCTGGCTCTGTCATCTCGGAGCTCACGGAGCAGCTCTGCGAGGAACGCCTCAGCTGTGGTCCCGGAGAGGAAGCGAGACGGACTGCGGGAGAAAGCAGAGATCCTGTCGGCCCAGTTCACCGCCATTATCAGCCGGTAACTCTGTCCGAAGTCATCCCACACAGTCAACCTTTACTTCACAACACCTTCTCCTCACAGACACTCACCATCCAGGGCTACGCTACTGACTTCCCTGTTTTGTCACGTGCACATGTCACCCTGGCAGTGTCACATCAGCGCCCCCTGCTGCTTCGGAGTGGAGCCGGGATATCGCTTCATCCAATAACTCACTCCTTTATTAAACTTTACTCCCACATTTGACTCAGTTGGACTCATATTCTTGACCTTATGACCCTTAAGAGAACCCAACCCCAGCAGGTATTACATAGAACTGGAAGAGCAACTGAAACATTGGAAATACATTCATAATATTGGAGGTTTTTTTTGGGAACTTTTTAAGAATTTTGCTATGGTTAATTTAACACAATCTCCCTTACTGGAACAAATTGTTTCATAGACAGGTGAAACATGCTTCAATACACTCCACAGGAAGAACAACAGAGCAATCTGTGCACGCGTTGTTTTTTTAAATTCCAATATTCACTGGAAAACGGTATGTGCCAAATATGTGATCACTAAAAAATGAAGACAGTTTAAATTATCTCAAAGATTGTGTCTCTCTTGTAAAATAGCTGCTGTTTAATGTTCTGAACTATCTGGTGTTTGTTGTACACGCTGTTGTAGTCGTTATGTATCCATATTGTGTATAGTATTCATAAATACATTGTGTTTTATATCAACCAGAGACATGGGCCTTACACAGTTAGTGCGGCAGAGGGCGCGGATGAGTAATGTATCATCTCTCTGAACCACAGAAGAAGGATAAACTGACCAATCAGCTGCGCCGTTTAGAAATCAACAAGGAAGTCGTTTTAAGGCGCCAATTTTGTGTCGTCGTTGAAGTCTGTACACCCATGGTTGAGGTTGAAGTCGTGTTTCTGTGTTCGGCCTGTTTTTAATCGGCTCTAAAATGTCTGAAAACACCTTCCCTGTCTACACTGCGGACGCAATAGTGAACTTTTACCGAACGGAAGTTCTCACCGGGCAAGAGGCCAAACACTTCACCAAGAGCGACCTGACTCCTGCTCCAAAGGTAACGGCGGCTCTGTCTGACAGTACACACAGTGAGGCCGAGTCCACCATAGATGTGTCTGTGGTTTCAACGCTGGGTCGGAAAGTAGCAAACGTACATAATAGACCTGTTCGCTAATTGTAACCTCGGAGCAGTTGTTTCCACATACGGTAACACGATGTGGGGAGACGTCAGCTGTGCCAGTCCACTCAAACTGCGTTAACCTGTAAGACCCCTTGTACCAGCGGATAGGACCCGTTAAAAGGACGCGTTACACGGTTTTCACCAATACTTTGGCTCAGTTTTGACAACCGTTTCAGGTGCTAAATCATTAACACGAAATGATTTAGGGTTCAAAATCTCACTTTGATTTAATTTATTTTGAATGCAGTCAAAGTTCATCAGAGCATCACAACATCGCAGCCATACGTGCATCATTGGATTTACACTGCATTTAAATATACTCACATTAACTCATTCTGTTGAAAACAAAGTATGCATTTTAAATAAAACAAACGATCCCTAGCATCTAATAGCATAAGATACTAAAACCCCAAATGAAACACTATTTAACAGCCTGTGTTTAGTCACTTAATAGGTAACGTTTGTTATTATGGGATGTCTTCTGAGGACTGATTTTATGTGAGGACAGCACTGTGTCACAGGGTTCTCCATATTGAAGCCGGTGTTAAATACGGCACATTGAGTGTCTTATATGTTGTAACTCTTCCACTGGAGCTCAGCAAGGTGAAAGTCAAATTTGTACTAAAAAGTAGTTCCCCACTTGATTTGACTAACATGGATAGAGCAGCCACCAGTGAACGTTCAGCCACACAATAAGGCTTTACTGCTTTTCTTGTCATATATGATAGTACATTAAATGACG